GTAGACAGAGCGCTGTGGGGCCTTGTTTACACGTGTGGCCGAGGGGTGGTAAAAGTATGATCAAGCTGTGTTTTTACCACTCCCCCAACCTTCCCCCCTAAGCTGCAAGGACAGAGGATGGGGGTGTACACATGCCGAGGTGCTTTGTGGGAAAAATTATCCCTCCATTGTGTTTGGCAAGCTCTACCAGCCACATTAAGTAAATGGGGCCACGCTGCTACCTCCCTTCAACCACTTGCAATGCATGCGCCTCCTAAAGGCCTGTCAAGCATCTCTGTAGAGGAGCAGTCGTCCATGCTGCATGTGTAAACAAGTCCTCAGGTTGTCAGATCTACAAAAAAGGACAGACGTCCCCCTACAATGGAAAGTAGGGGCTTAGGGGACTTGGAAGTCAAGGGTTTAGGCCTAGTTCTGGAGGTTGAGAACTGGAAATAACCAAAAGGAACTCTTCTTGGACAAAAAGAGGGGTGAGGCTTCCCAGACGGAGATTTAGGTTTCTTTTATCAGAGCAGATGTGTAGTGTTGTCCTCAGTGACATCCTTGATTGTGTCCAGGGCAGCTCTGAAAAGACGCGGTCCCTCAAATGACATACAAAAAAGGTGCTTTTTAGTATGCCATTTACAGTCCAGTACTTAAGCCAAAGCGTCGTCCTCATGTTCACAGACGTGGGGGCTCATATGAGAAAGGAAATGAGACCTTTGTAAGGAAACAGACTAGAATGGCACGAAAGGCACACTGCAGCTGAGAAAAGGTTGGGGGTATGTAGTGGATCCTTCGCTTGGCTTGTGGGAGGCAAGTGCTTCTACCGAAGTAACATTTTCTTACTCATCCACTGAATCTTTAAGACACTATTTCTAATGAGGATAAAAGGGACGCTGTTGACACTTTTTTCATGCATAGAATTGTCTTAGAAGCCAGTTCTGCTGTTCTCAGTTAAAGCATAAACTAAAGGAAAAAAACTTTATTTTTTAGTTTTGGATAGAGTGGAGAAGCATTAGAACCCCTACCAGTTTTTATTGCTGTCCATGCCATTAAGAGAGATTTCCTTCTTTATTTGTTGTGTTTCTTATTATTGAAAGTGAAAGAAAATCACAAATTTTGGGTTGTCCTCGGTAAAATAGTTGAGAAATCTTCCAATGGGTACAGTGGTTCTGGGGGTTCCCAAGAGATTCCCATAATTTGCCGGGATTTCCTCTCACTTCCTGTTTGGCTATGGGACAGGAAGGGAAATCCCTGAAATGGGACACAGATGGTGGAAATGGAAATAAAAAAAAAAAAAAAAAAAAAAAAAAAAAAGTTTCCTATAGTTCTACTTTAACCACTTCCCGACCGGCCGTTGTATATAAACGGCCGGACGGTGGCACTGCAGGGTCGTGGCCGTCTATAAACGGCCTCCCCGCACCCTGCTTGTGCGCGCTCCCTGGGAGCGCGCAGCACCGCGATCCGGTGCCCGCTCTGTCCTCCGGACACAGTAAAACACCGATCGTCGGACGGGACCTCTGTACGAGGTCCCGATCATGTGATCACTGATTGGCCAATCAGTGATCACATGCAAAGTAGTAAGCAAGATGTCACTTGTGACATCATTGCTTACTATGTGTGAAATCTGTGAATGATCAGAGGTCACATGGTACAAGGCTATTCACAAAAGCCTTGTACCATGTGACAAGCTGTGACCAATCACAGCTCACTCTGTATTTCTCAATGAGTGCAGGAATGCACACAGAGAGAAAGAGAAATGATTGCTTTTACATCCTATATGGGTGTAAAAGCAATCAGTGTAAAAAAAAAAAAAAAAAAAAAAAAATCTTTATCACCCCTCACAAGTAGTACAGTGTCACCATGGTGACACTGTACTGCTAGGGTGACAGTATGTAAAAAAAAAAAAAAAAAAAAAAAAAAATAAAAAAAATAAAAATGTAAAAAAAAAATGTTAAAAATTATAATTTTTGCTTATAAACTAATTTGGATTTTTTTTTTTTTTTTTTTTTTTACTAAGAAGATAACGGAATAAATTTTGGCTAAGATTTATGATGAAATATTATTTATTTGCAAAATTTTATTAAAAAAAACACTTTTTTTTAAAAATTTTTTGGACATTTCATTTACATGGCAAAAAAAATACAAATCCCAGTGGTGAATAAATACCACCAAAATAAAGCTTTATCTATCTAAAAAAAATGGTAAAAAATTAATTTGGGTACAGTGTTGCATGACCGCGCAATTGTCATTCAAAGTGTGATAGCGCTAAAAGCTGAAAATTGCCCTGGTCAGGAAGGGGGTAAAAGTGTCCGGTCTGGAAGTGGTTAAGCATAGCATTTTTCTGCACGAGATTACAACTGAATGATGCCAGATTCAAATGCCTAGCAACCAACTCCATGTCACACAAAAGCACAATACGACAGTAGCCTGGTCCACACGGTCTACCATTTACTGATCCTGCTAGCACTGGTCAAGTTTGGCTTCAGGTACTTAATCTGCATGGGGTTTCAGAACCATCCAAAACCAGTTGCAGAGTAGTGCTAGCAAGTCACTTGGATGAGGAAACAGCAGGGTGTTTTGGATCTTTGTACAGAAAAGCAATCTGAGGGTGATGAGTAGACCTTGCACTTCCTATATGAGTCAAGACCTGAAACTGAGCTGCTAGAGGCAACAAGTTAATCTTTCAGAAGCAGAGTAGTATGCAGGTCAGAAAAAACACAAGTTACCATATTTGGGGTGATGGCTACAGGCTGCACATTATCTGATAAAGGCTCCTTGCCTGGGGATAGTTGTGAGTTCGGAAGGGTGGGGGGAGGAGTTTGCAAAAAGCCCCAACTAGCAGCAGAGAGGAGCAATAAGGTGTTTGCTCCCTATTAACCTTGGAAAAGTCTCTGCTGTGATCTTTCAGGATAAATTCAGTGTTTTTGCAAACAGAGATCAGGGAGGACCCTTTTACTACAGGTCAAGATTTTTTTTTTTCTCTTTACAAACACACCACACACTTTAGCCTGAGAACACTATTGCATTGAGGTAATGCATGCAGTATTGTACTAGGCAAGCATTAGGTACAGGCCATGAGCAGTTCTGGCCCAGCTTAAAGGATAAGTTCACCGTTGGAAACAGGTTACATGTTCCCAATGCTGCAGCCACTGCCCAATTACACAACCGTGGTAGTTCATGGAATACTCTCATCATATCTGCAGGAGGCCTTCCTGGCACCAGTGATCTGCTGATGGCTGGTGCAATGCTTTACAGGTTCCTGCAACCAATACTTTTTTTTTTTTAACCTGTAAATTTTTTTTGGTCAAAAAGGTGAGATTATCCTTTAACCACTTGCCATCCAGAGGATTAACCCCCCTTCCTGACTAGGCCATTTTTTGCAATACGGCGCTGTGTTACTTTAACTGCCAATTGCGCGGTCATGGAACGTTGTACATAAATGTCCTTTTCTTTCCCCCACAAATAGAGCTTTTCTTTCAGTGGTATTTGAACACCTGTGTGGGTTTTATTTTTTGCACTACAAAAAAAAAAAAAAAAAAAAATGGGTTTTTCGTTTTCTGATGTTTTGCTATAAAAAATATCCATTAAAAAAAAAAAAAAATCAAACATTTAGTCATACATTTTAGACCAAAAATGTATTCTGCTACATGTCTTTGCTAAAAAAAAAAAAAAATCCCAATGCATGTACATTAATTGGTTTACGTGAAAGTTACAGCGTCTACAAATGGCGGTGTATATATACACTGGAATTTTTTATTTTTTTTAATATATACCAAGGCAGCGATCAGCGACTTGTATAAATCAGGACTGCAGCAGGTATTCTGACACTGGGTGGGAACTGACTAACTGCCACTGACATCCCAATGACACCAATACCGTGATCTGTGCTAATAAAAAAAAGCAATGGCTATACAGGAAGGGGTTAACATCTGGTGCGATCAAAGGGGTTAACTGTGTGCTGTTACACAATGTGCTGTGTGTTTTACTAGGGAAACATGTCGCTGTGCAGAGAAATACAAAGCAGCATGTTCTTGCCGGCAGGAGAGAGACCTGTGTTTACACACAGGTCTCTCCCCTGTCCGTGTTACTTGGTGACTGCCGGGTGTCGGCAGGGAATCTCCGGCTGGGACCCAGTGATTGACATCTGTAGCGGAAATGCAAATCACGAATATATACACACATGATTTTGCGCAGCCCTGCTGCCCTGTAGCAGTAATTCTTACTATAGGGCGGCAGGAAAGCGATTAATGGGCTGACATATAATGAGCATTGACATGCTGCCATAATACTCCATGTAAGAGGCCACAGGTGCACTTTAAGGTAGGTGGGTGGTGTGTTTTACTCCAACAGTTACTAATTAATTTCCAATTTTAGCCAATATATACACATACCCCAGACAGATAAAACAAACATTTAGCAATTTTAAATCCATATTCAATTAACAGAAATCTATTTCCTGGTAAGCATAACACATTTCAAGGTTGAAGACACTGGCAAGTTGAACAATTTATCATTTGCCCTGACCAGATTCCTGGAAGGCGTTACATATGGTAGGCAAAACCAGAAGCATAGATAACGTATGAAAACTTGTTTTTTTTTTAAGGAGAAATGTTATTCTTTACGTACATATTTTTTATATCAGTCTGCTCTATTCCGTTACATAAGAATACTGTGCATCTAAATATTCAATGAAATCTCCCAATTTTTATTCAGCCCAGTTTCCATGCATTTCACAGCTGGAAATATAAGCCCCTGTTTAATGTTAAACATATACAGATTACTATTTTGACAAATCCGTATTACATTATATGCAATAAAAAAAAAAAAACACACCACAACAACAAGCAAACAAAAAAAAACAAAAAAAAAAACCACACACTTGTTTAATGTCATTCGCTATAGATTATAGTGTCGTCACCCATTGAACTACAACTAAAAATTATTTGCATTATTCGCAGAACATAACTGGATGTTTACCTATGTGTAAATCAAGGACAACAATGGTCTTTTGTGCTCACCTTGAGAGGACAGTTCAGGATCTTCATCATCCAGTGTAAGATCAATAACACCAGCTGCAGATTTCGCACTCTAGAACAGAAATTACAATTGACTTTACACAAATTTGCACCGCTTTATAGAAGTATGAAAAAAAAAAAAAATATATATATATATATATATATATATATATATATTTTTTTTTTTTTTTTTTTAAATAAAATATGCTTATGAAAATTTTGTCATTTTAAACCATCAGACACTTAAAATTGACAGCACAAAAAACACAACCTATGATAATCAGAATACATACTGCATATAGGATAAGGCAGGCAAAAAAAAAAACTTACCCAAAAGATTAAAACAGTTGCTCCCTAGACACCACAGAAAGGTTTGCGTAATACTGTAAAGCCGGCCACAGACCGATCAAAATTTTGCGTAATACTGTAAAGCCGGCCACAGACTGATCAAAATTTTGATCCATGTATGGGCAAGGCTAGCTGGTTGTACTTAAGTCAGTCAGTAGCTTGGGTGTTTTCATTCGATCGTTGCCAGCGGCTATAGCAGCAAGCAGTGATCATTGTATTTTGATGGCAGGGAAACCTCCTTCTGTTGGAATACAATAGCACAGCATAAGGGACTCCCCCACCAGCACTGAATGTATTGGAGGAATATAGCAATTTCCTTGCAACCTGTGGTTGCAGAAAAGAAAAATGGTTAATGTGTGCCTGCCTAAGAGTACACTTCTTTGAGGAAGGACTTGCAGGCAAAACAGTGAGTCAGACTGTAGACCTCAAATAAAGCTGAACAGCTTTAACATCATTCAAAGAGCAAAGCACCTTCTGAACCTTGCATATAAGGAGCAAAAAAGTTAATCTATTAGAGTTTTAAAAGGAAGAAGTCAGCAATATAGACAAGACCAGGTTGAAGCTCTGCAGAGCCAAAGGGTGCTGTACAGGCAGAGCAAGCCATGTGGCACCCTGCATGAAAAATTAACTAAAGAAAGACAGGGTAGGTCTCAAAAAGCATGGAGAGGGAAAATTCTTGCAGAGAAGTTTCGATAAGGTACACTTGAGCCATGGGATCCTTTTATAAGGACAGACATCACCCCTGAAAACTGCCTTATGGAGTTTTCCAAGGCATCCATTGAGAAACGTAAGGCTCTAAAAGTCTCCTAGGAGCTGCCAAATGGCAGGATCTTCTGGGCTTCATTCTCTGGAATGGAGCGTACATTTCACCCATACTGTAAGGACTTGGCAAACTCCCACAACAGGCTGAAGAGCCACTTCTTCAGAAGGGACACCTTAAAGAGGGCCTCTAACTGCTTATCCATGAAATCTTTAAAGACTAGGACCCCATACAGTGGGTCTGTCAGGGTTCCATTTAGGTAGGAAATAGCTGTGTATAAACCAGTAAGAACCCCATTTCTAGCAGAATTCCTCCTCCATGTGGCACTGATGAGCCTCAGTGGCAAAAACACCTTCTTCAGGTTGGCCCAATAAGCATACATCACCTTTTGTGACGGTGCACTGGAAAGTACTTGGGAATTTTTGGTGGCTGCAAGGCCCCAAAACCAGTGACTTTAGGGGAAGGGGGTTCAGGCAGTGGTAACTAAGTTACAGTGCACCACATCTACCAGAAGCCCACCACACTCTGAGCCCTGGACTGTAAGATCCCTTTTGGGAAGACTCAGTTGAAGGGGATTCCTGATCTTTAAAAGCTTCTACCTCTTCCTTATCCTGAGCTATGGTAGCTTTCTAGCAGTGACATTCCTGTGGGAAGCCTGCAATCGCTTGAAGAAAAAAAAAAAAAAAGTGGGCCCAAGCACACAGAACTGGTCTATAAACAACACTATGCACTCAAGGCACTAAACTCTAAGGGGGAAATTACCAAGTGCCTACATCACTTACAATGGCAATCACCAAACCATGCTGCAGGGCCAGATAGCCCAATCTTCACCCATCATGGCTAGTTGTGGTAATAGTAATAAATACACAGCTAAATTTAAAAAATAAATCTATAAATTGACTTTTATTTTAAAGGAAAACTGGCCCAAAAGAAAGCCCAATTTGTCCTGAAAGAAAGATGAATAATCCACCCAGACACAAAGTTGCAATGATATGTACAGTTTTACTAGCACATGTCAAAATTGTGATTAGGCATTAACATTTGTTTTACCCTCAGTCATGAAGGTGTTAAAGCACCTATCTAAATGCTGTTTGCAAGTAACACCTACTGCGGGTTACCAGTCCTTAGATGGGGTGGCTGCATTAATTTCCTCTTTTTTTTTAGCCAATAGCATTTTCATCAAGTTCAGAAAGTTTGCTAACTTTTTAATTTTTTTGCAAGTGTCCCTTATTGGATTCCAAAAAATGGAGGTGAAGTAAAAAACAAAAAAACGATAACCCTGCAAACAATCACCATGCCTCAGCTTTGCAGCAAAGTAGTACCAAAAGCAAACCTATAAATACAGAGGGGTGGTACCCATGGTTCCTCAATGGGAGCGCAGAAATCCTAGCATGGCTGCCAATAACTTAGTGAAAAGTGCAGAAGACAGAGCAAAAGCCAGGGGTGGGGGTAAACTGATCGTGAAAAGAAAAAGAGAGGAAGGCGCCTCTAAGTGCAGTATTAACAATTAGTAGACTCAATAGGCTCCTTCAGGAGGTCTGAAGAAGGAGCCTATTGAGCATGCTCCAAAATGCATTACTGCCCCCTTTCACCTGCTACATCTGACTCTGCTCTCCAAACTTCATTTTTGATGCACAGGCACATCATGGACTCTACTTCCTGATCCTATAGGCATAGCTTGCTGCTGGACGGCTGGATGTCCCACCTGGATCCAATTACCACACGATGAGTCTTTTTAACCGTTTATCTTGTAAGTGCAAATTTTCCATTGTCTACTAATTGTTAATACTGCACTTAGAGGCGCCTTCCTCTCTTTTTCTTTTCACGATCAGTTTACCCAAACCCCTGGCTTTTGCTCTGTCTTCTGCACTTTTCACTAAGTTATTGGCAGCCATGCTAGGATTTCTGCGCTCCCATTGAGGAACCATGGGTACCACCCCTCTGTATTTATAGGTTTGCTTTTGGTACTACTTTTTAAAAAAAAAAAAAATACAGCATATTTGCAGAAAACTCCTCCCTGGATAAGGCAAAGGAGGAAGCCACACCTGATAGAGCCAAGGTAGAATCTGAGGAATTTACAAAGTCAAGCAGGGGACAATGTGTCAGATCCCTGAGGAGGCTGCCCTAATTTATTAATAGATCATGACATGGAAAGACCCGATGCAGTGGGGGCCTGTTCCTTTTGAGCTTGGGATTGAACATGTTATACAGCCTAACAGGGACAACTTGGTTGAGAACACCAGGTAAAAACTACACAAACTTAAGTACTGAAAACTGGTGGCTAAGAGTCCGAAATGGCTGGAGGTGACCATGTCACAGTAGGGGGCACCAAGGACTAAAAGAGGTGAAACCACATGTCTCTTGCAAATAGGGGCAATTGCACGAAGATGCTAACTCTCGCTGAAATGCGTTAAAAAGTGTTGAGTATGTGAGCATATGAAACTATCTAGTAAACGCAGCACTTAATTGTGTTCAGCCTTTTTGTGGAATCAACGAAAGAGGAGGTTAGTATATCGCTACATTACAAGTGTAGTAACTGATGATGCTCTGTCCAAGTACAAGGTGTATTCATTAAAAGGGTCTTCAGTGACTCGGTCATACCCAAGGCTGCGCCATGGATCTGGAAATGGAAAGTGTTCTGCCACCAATAGTGCACAATGGTCTGGAAAGTGCCATAAGCAGAGCTTAGTGCCCGACTGTTGCATTCCATGCAATCTTAGGTCCAGGGAAAAGAAAAAAAAAAAAAACAAAAAAAACCTGAAGCATGTTTGTAGTAGGCAGAAGTGTTTATACTTGGCTGGTCAATGTAAATATGTTTGCCAGTTTAATCAGTTATTGCATGTAAATAATGGAATCTCTAACAAATGAGAAAAAGTTACACACACATATATATACAGTCGGGTCCATAAATATTGGGACATCGACACAATTCTAACATTTTTGGCTCTAAACACCACCACAATGGATTTGAAATGAAATGAACAAGATGTGCTTTAACTGCAGACTGTCAGCTTTAATTTGAGGGTATTTACATCCAAATCAGGTGAACGGTGTAGGAATTACAACAGTTTGCATATGTGCCTCCCACTTGTTAAGGGACCAAAAGTAATGGGACAATTGGCTTCTCAGCTGTTCCGTGGCCAGGTGGGTGTTATTCCCTCATTATCCCAATTACAATGAGCAGATAAAAGGTCCAGAGTTCATTTCAAGCGTGCTATTTGCATTTGAAATCTGTTGCTGTCAGCTCTCAAGATGAGATCCAAAGAGCTGTCACTATCAGTGAAGCAAGCCATCATTAGGCTGAAAAAACAAAACGAACCCATCAGAGAGATAGCAAAAACATTAGGCGTGGCCAAAACAACTGTTTGGAACATTCTTAAAAAGAAGGAACGCACCGGTGAGCTCAGCAACACCAAAAGACCCGGAAGACCACGGAAAACCACGGAAAACAACTGTGGTGGATGACCGAAGAATTCTTTCCCTGGTGAAGAAAACACCCTTCACAACAGTTGGCCAGATCAAGAACACTCTCCAGGAGGTAGGTGTATGTGTGCCAAAGTCAACAATCAAGAGAAGACTTCACCAGAGTGAATACAGAGTTCACCACAAGATGTAAACCATTGGTGAGCCTCAAAAACAGGAAGGCCAGATTAGAGTTTGCCAAACGACATCTAAAAAAAGCCTTCACAGTTCTGGAACAACATCCTATGGACAGATGAGACCAAGATCAACTTCTACCAGAGTGATGGGAAGAGAAGAGTATGGAGAAGGAAAGGAACTGCTCATGATCCTAAAGCATACCACCTCATCAGTGAAGCATGGTGGTGGTAGTGTCATGGCGTGGGCATGTATGGCTGCCAAAGGAAATGGTTCTCTTGTATTTATTGATGATGTGACTGCTGACAAAAGCAGCAGGATGAATTCTGAAGTGTTTCGGGCAATATTATCTGCTCATATTCAGCCTAATGCTTCAGAACTCATTGGACGCCACTTCACAGTGCAGATGGACAATGACCCAAAGCATACTGCAAAAGCAACCAAAGAGTTTTTTATGGGAAAGAAGTGGAATGTTATGCAATGGCCAAGTCAATCACCTGACCTGAATCCGATTGAGCATGCATTTCACTTGCTGAAGACAAAACTGAAGGGAAAATGCCCCAAGAACAAGCAGGAACTGAAGACAGTTGCAGTAGAGGCCCAGCAGAGCATCACCAGGGATGAAACCCAGCGTCTGGTGATGTCTATGCGTTCCAGACTTCAGGCTGTAATTGACTGCAAAGGATTTGCAACCAAGTATTAAAAAGTGAAAGTTTGATTTATGATTATTATTCTGTCCCATTACTTTTGGTCCCTTAACAAGTGGGAGGCACATATGCAAACTGTTGTAATTCCTATACTTTTCACCTGATTTGGATGTAAATACCCTCAAATTAAAGCTGACAGCCTGCAGTTAAAGCACATCTTGTTTGTTTCATTTCAAATCCATTGTGGTGGTGTATAGAGCCAAATATGTTAGAATTGTGTTGATGTCCCAATATTTATGGACCTGACTGTATGTGTATATATATATATATATATATATATATATATATATATATATATATATATATATATATATATATATATATATATATATATATTTTAAGCACAGAGATGTCAGATTTTCATTTAAGAGCAACCTTTTTTCTGTGGCAAGTATCCAAACCACAAACCCAACAGTATTCAAATAAAAAGGATACCGAGACATCAAGGGGAAAAAAAAAAAAAAAAAAAAACCCCCCACACACTTTATTCAATTTTATTGTTCTACAAACATTTAAAAATATACCTGTGCACTGCCCTCAGGTGTACGCTTGCTTGCTGCTGGCTCTGCTGCAGAAGCCCGACCAGCTTGTAAATCTGAAAATGAAGTACAACAACCGAGACACATTCTTTAGGAAAGCTTTTAGCGAAATTAGAATTAAAACATTGCACAAATATTTTGGTTTAAACACACATTTTATATTTTGTGTATTGTGAGAATAAGGCTTCATGTACACTAGCAGCTCCTAAAAACTTGAGTTTAGGAGCTTTTGGCTTTTTTGCCAAAGTTCCTAAACTCAACTCCATAAAAGCCTATATGTCCACATAAGCTTTTAACAGAGTTTAGGAGCTGCTGCGTTTAGGGGAGGTTAAACCTCCCTCTCCTGAATGCAGAAGAATTGCATTTTTGACCTTTTTTTTTTTATTTTTACTCCATTTTTACATAATTTGTATTCCTTACGTTTATATATTATCAGTTGTGATCTGTGTCTTTCTTGTGTTTGGTATATTAATGTTTTGTGGATTTCAGGTGTGATTTTTTAAATATATTTTTAATCACATAATTCACCATTTTTAATACATTTTTCTATTTTCATATGGTCTATTAATTTTATATAGTTTATATGATTTATCAACAGGGTGTAATACACATGAACTACAGATGCATCTCAATAAAGTAGAATGTCATCAAAAAGTTAATTTCAGTAATGCAATTCAAAAAGTGAAACTCAAAAATTGGATAGGATTCATGACACAGCGTGATGTATTTCAAGCATTTCTCTTTAATTTTGATGGATTATGGCTTACAGCTGGTGAAAACCCAAAATTCAGTATCTCAGAAAATTGTGAAAAAGTTCAATATTGT